CACACACACACACACACACACACACAAACAGTGTATACCCCATGGATCCCGGCTGTGGATAGGCTTAGTATGTCTTGCAACATATTAACTGAGAGACAGAGAAACATGGGCGACAGTGTGGGGACATGTGAAGTGTGCTGACAAAATGAGTTCCTTCTCGGATATGAGCCCTGTGGAAATACTTACTTTTTTACTTTTTCATCCTCTGTTGCCGTTAAGCGTCGAAGGTTTTCCATGGTAGTCCAGCTCCGCAGCTCTTTCAGTTGTGATGTGATGTTTTCTTAGGGTTTCCTTGACACCCTCGATCCACCTTTTGTGTGGCCTTCCTCTTCCTTTATATCCCCTGAAGAAATAAATAGCCTTAATCAGGCTTATAGGTTAAGTGGTTACAATTTATAAGTTTGAAATAACAAAAGCCATGTTACACTTAAAGAATAAGAATACTGCATCCCTAGGGTTGATTTTTTGTCAGTATCTTCATTTTGTGGATTGGGAAAAGTGACTCATTTTGTCAGCATGCCTCATATGATATAGCAACACAAACGTTGTAGAAGTGATCTTTTTTTGACGACTTGTCGTGCACTTGTTAAAGTCAAATTTCCTTCCTTTCTGAGTGGTTTGTGTGGGGCCTTTGCTTGAGGTCGAAAATCAGTTTGTATACAACAATTGGAGTAGATTATTTTTTGTTGAAAAATGTGAAGTAGACCTAGCATGGGTGCTGCTTTACTCTTACACCATGATGAAAATTCGGGCGATGAATGAGCTTGATCTAGATCAAACGTTTCCTGTTCCGATTTTAATTCCAATTTTTTGGTGAACATGCGACCATCACTTTCAATTAGATCTATATTATTTTTTGTTATGTATGCTGAAAATTTAATAAGGGTTAGTTTATTTTTGCCAAGACACAGGAGCAGTACTGATGTACCGCATCTGTATCCTTCCTGGTTCATTTGAACAAGTGTTGTGTGCTCTGTGCGCTGCGTGGGTGGAAAGTGGTAAACTCCGAGGTAAATTATACATTTTTTCTGTAACATAACATACGGGAACATTTTTCGATCCTCAGTTTCAATTTTTTGTTTCAGTATGCTGAAAATTTCATAATGGTTGGAGTATTTTTGCCGAGATACAGGAGTAGTACTGATGTATCACGTCTGTATCCTGGTCCGTGGGGACAAGATTAGTGTTGTGTGCTCTACACGCTGCGTGGGTGGAAAGTGGTAAACTCCGTGACAGTTGGTAAATTATACATTTTTTGTGTAACACACTCCGTGACAGTTGGTATTATACATTTTTTGTGTAACACACTCCGTGACAGTTGGTAAATTATACATTATTCTGTAACACAAGATACGGGAACATTCTTAAACTCCGTGACAGTTGGTAAATTATACATTTTTTCTGTAACTTAAGATACGGGAACATTCTTTTTAACTCCGTGACAGTTGGTAAATTATACATTTTTTCTGTAACCCAAGATACGTGAACATTCTTAAACTCCGTGACAGTTGGTAAATTATAAATTTTTCTGTAACACAAGATGACAGAAAAACCTTCAAAAACTCCGTGATAGTTGGTAAATTATACAGTTGGTCTATGATACCTGTTGGGACTTCTTGTGTCACCGAGGAAATAACGGAGACAAAAACTACAACTCTCTGACAGTTGATAAATTATGATACCTGTGCATAAGATCGAGTGCGTCGTTCAATCAAAGACAAAGACGAACAATTCTCACACTTCTTGATGGCTGATAGATGATACCTTTGTGAGGCATGATCACAAAATGAGTTACTTTTCCTAATCCCCAAATTATGGAGATATTGGCCAAAAATCAAGACGCTGGGTCAAATTAACAGATTTTCTATTGAAGCAATATTCTTTAGGTATAATATCATGCCTTTTGTTATTTCAAACTTATAAACTGTAAAAACTTAACCTATAAGCATGATGTATCTGTTTCCTTTCACGGGGTCCAAATCCGAGAAGCAAGTAATTTTTTCAGGACA